CATTTCATCAGCATTTGAGTTTGGGTTTCTTGGCAATTGCTGACCCATTTGCAGATTGAAATTCTGAGTGCCTTGATATCCTGGATTTAGAATCATATTGAGGGTATTATAATCTGAATGATAATGATATCCTTGTGGAATATTTATCTGTCGAGCCCCTTGCTGATTTACTGTTTAAAATTTCTGATTAAAAACACATCTAGATACGTAGCAAAAGCTATGCACCTAGAAAATCAAAACGACTTATAATTTGGGATGGAGTACTGTATATGGACTGCTCCAATGCTGATCAATTGTTAGTTTTATTTTTGCTGGATTGCGTGTGCAAATTGATTGTTATCATATCTAGGACATATTCTTAAAATTATTCGCAAAAAAAGAACATATTCTTAAAATCTTCTAATGTAAGAGACATTTTACAAGTGTCTTGAGTACAAATCTATACTTATAGCATATATGTTTCCAAACTAAATAAAATAATATTTATTGACGTTTGTAGCTTTTTAAATTTGACCCGATCTTATCCTAATCGACAATTTTTTGTGGCCAATATGCAATAAGACTTGTGTCTACCCTCTACCGCACAAAGAAATTTATCCAACTTTCCAATTCAACAAGCTACTACATAGTGGATTCTACTATCGTTGTGGCCATAGTCTAATAGAGAAATTTAAAATGCGCTATGTAAAAAGTAAATCCAAATAAAGAGCATAATGGTATTGTGGAGCTCATACTATCCAAGAACATTGGTTAGAACTAGGATTAATATCCCAGTTAGATACTCTGAGAAAAGACTTGGGGCATCCCCACATATGCTAGTGGGAATACGAATTGACATACCTAGCTACCCATCTTCACTAGGCACTGTGCTTCGATCAAAATGGAATGAACCACTCCTCCCATGTACAAGCATCACGATTACTCTATAAATTCGGTAGGAGGATCTCGCAGTACTTGTTCCGTGACGAGGCCTTCAATTCATACGCACAAGCAAAATGCACTCTAGGCCTAATATCATCTCCAAAGCTCCTGAAATATCACTTGGTAAGCCAATGATTATGCCAAGTAACAAAAATGAAAAGAAAGCTCTATTTTAGCCTACAATAGTTAAGGGCCTATTTTGGACAGCTCCACCACTGAAAAAGTGATTCTAGATCTAGGATTCACCATAGTAGATTTGAGATCCTCCATAGATGTACCAAGGAACCGTTTGGATACACAGCAACTCTAAATCCACGCATGGGCATTTTGATTGGAGTAGACAGATTTACCCTTGGTATAGGCCCCACGTGTCAATGTCCGAAGAAAGCTTCTTCCTAGGCCCCACGCGTCAGGAGGCAAAATGCAAAAAAAAACCATCGGCTTCTTCTTCCTCTAACCGGCTCGGGCCTAAGCAGGGGAGGACCGACCGGTGGCCGAATCTTGGCTAGGGGAGGGCGGGACCAGCAGCGAGGGGCAGCCAGCGAGGCGTGAGGGGCCGCACGGGCCTGTGCAGCTACCAGGCGGTGAGGGCGCACGGCCAGGGCCTCGGCTGCAAGCGCCCTGTGCACCCATGGTGGCAGTGGCGGCGGCGGCACTCGAGAGGCGGGTCGTGGCCTGCTGTGGAGAGGCACGACGAGGCAAGGGGAAGGCACGGGAGGCTCAGCTGGGGGCGGAGGTGGAGCACCCGACGAGGAAATGCCGGTGACAGCACGCGAGCTCCGCAGCCATGGCGAGTGCTTGGCCTGAGTAGAGACAGAGAGCGAGCAGATTTGACGGCACGTCCGCAGAGGCCACGGCGCGTGGGGCCATGGCGCGGACGGCGGTGCTCTTGCGTGCGGCGGTGGAGGCGAGCGCAGCCATGGTTGCGATGGAGAAAGAAGAAAATGCGATGGAGGAAGAAGAAGAAAAATAGAAACGAACCGATATCTTGTGTAACCACCGACTGTGGTGGGTAATTTTTCTCGGCTCCACCAAACTCAAGAGTTCCACCAAAGTAGTGAATCTAGCCTCCAGATCCACCGTTTTGGTGATTCTAGATTTCGTAGACTAGACCGTTTGAGTAACTTTTAGGAAGTGGAGCTATTTTTGGTGAATTTGGAGCTCGTGGAGCTGTCCTAAATAGGCCCTTAGCTTCATAAAACTCTGAAAGCGAGCGGGAATGGGCGAAAACTAGGTGGATGGAAGGAAATTGCTCTATACATCGTGGGTTCAGACCCCCATAGCTGCACAGCGTGTGTTTTTCGCGTGAAAAAATGTATGACTTGTGACGCCATAACGTGTGTGGCTACCTGGTGGGGTCTTCCTAAAATTAAAAAATTACTAGATAAAGTAGTATAGATGCTTCCGAACCGCTTCTATAAATACTCTTTGTAGTAGTGTACCACGAATTGGTATATCTCACTGAAATAGCACTACAACTTTCATAAAAATAGTCTCCATCCATCTCCATATATGAACAAGCTCTTTGTAGTACGAGTGCCCATTTGGACCAGTGTCAATACCAATCTGGTCATGAAAACAAATCGTCTTCAATGCTAGATTTTATTTCTTAAAACTTACACTCGCATCCATGAATACTCACACACATCCTTGGTCCCCGAAGTATCTCCGAGAGACCTCATATCTTGAGCTTGACAAAGTCACTCACATATACGTGTCATGAGCATCTCACATAGACCACCAAATGAAAAGGATTTTTTTCTCGAACTACGTCGTAAAGTTGCGTGTCATTTCATTAAGATACAAATAAAATACAAGTCTAGTTAGACCCTACTCGAGTATAAAACACCACAAACACACACCCACTCACTTAACTAAAACGGACGCACCACAAAATATATCGATGTTGACCAGACAAAACAGCCTGCCTTATATCCTCAAGGCTGGCTCCCTGACCAAGAGTTCCTAGAGCTTTCTTTGCTCCAGCACTGCAAAGATTGCTCAGCACTGACAGCCCTAAGAACCTCCTGGATGTTGGGCGTGGCATTTTCAAACACACATGAGTTACGGTGCTTCCACACCTCCCAGGCCACCAAAATTATCAGGGAGTTGAGACCCAACGAGATGCTGTAGGTTCTGGCGACAGAGAACTAAGACCCAAATATTGGAAGATTCGAGCCCATATTTGACGAGTGAATACACAGCCAACCAGGATATGGATTATTTATTTTTAAGATAAATCTAAGAAAGTGCAAGCACTCATATTATGTCTAGCCTAAATGAACAAGTTGTATCACAAGAAACCACGCCTAAACAACTTTGAGGGCTAAGTTTGCTGCAAAGATTGCTAATACTCTTGCCCACGAGCAAGTTTCATCTGTAAAATATGTTGAATTCACATAAATTTGGAACTGTAACTTGGAAAAGGGCTCTCAACGGGACGCCCTTTCAGCCACTGAACGTAATTTGGAACTCAATATTTTTCAGCTACCTCTGTAATAATGCAGTGCTGTTTTTTTTTTCAGGAATCAGTACAATCAGCATGTATGTGTGCCGAGAGTAATGAGACAACAAAAATTCTAAAGGGAGTGAGCGGGGTGATAGATCTAGCAGGTATGGCTATATGATTCACTCTGCGCCAGGCGTAAAATTAAAACCCACTACCACTATATATATGCCTTCTTGTACTTTCTGCATAGAAGAAGGGCTGAAGCGGAGTAGCACGCACCTGACATCATGACATGTAAACATATAGCTAATTAAACATCATTTATCTCATGAACTATTTCACCTGACATGCTGAAGTTTCCATTCCCTTTTTCTACACAGGATGACACTTGTTCTTGGAGCACCCGGATCTGGAAAGACAACATTTTTATGAGTATTGTCTGGGAAGCTAGATCCTTCTCTTAAGGTAAGGCAACCTATGTATGTATATATTTGAAAAGTAAAATGCATATCAATTTGCAAAACAGTAGTTTTGCATAAGAAATACCATTGGTAAATTAATTTAAATTTCCATCTATGGTACCATGCTTCGCCCTGCTGAATAGTTCGAAGGCAAGGTTACATACAATGGAGAGGCAAGGTCTTCTACGCCTCAGCACCTGAAAGCATATGTTAGCCAGCATGATCTTCATCATGCAGAGATGACTGTGAAAGAGACAATCAATTTCTCTTCCAACATGCTGGGATCCAACAACGAATTCAGTATGGCAGTGTGTTTCTTGTGTTACTTTGACCAAAATCAGAATGCATGTTCTGTAAAATGCATGCGTTAGATGAACTAATGTATAGCCATGTGAAAGAACCAGAGTGCTCAGAGATACAACTACTAATGTGTTTCACCCATTTGGAATGAACAATGAAATTAGAAATGCTAAGAGAGGTGGCGAAACAACAAATGGGCACTAATGAAGCAACTGATGAGCTATTTAGCAAGGTTCTATTCGACTTTGTGATCCTATATAATTGGTCAAATTTTGCTCCATGTATGAATAATAACAAATAATGTCTATACAGGCCACTGCGTTAGGAGAAGGAAGCAACCTTAAAACCAACTATATAATCAAGGTTTATTATTCTTTTCCTTTCAGAGAATGTCAAGTGCAAGTATATATATATTTCTCCTATCCGTAAACTTAAAAGTTGATGGCACCACAGATTCTTGGCCTCTCCACTTGTGCTGACACCATAATACGGGACGAGCTCCAGAGAGGCATTTCTGGAGGACAGAAAAAGAGAACCACAATTGGTAAATACTTTACTCTAGAGCTAGCTAGCTTATTGCTTGATACACCGCAGAAGGCAAACAGCATATGTTTTGACACTTCATTAACTGACACGTGTTATGCACAAATAATCCATAAAATGTGAAGCAAACCATAGAGAATGTTAGAATGATACATTAAGCACACAAACTTAACTGCACAGAAATAGTACACAAAAATGAGCTATGCAATCTCCATTGTTAAAGTTTAGGGTGCAAGGTGCATGACCTTTGTACTGAACAAGAAGCAAAAGTTGGTTTTGTTGTTGAACTTACTCAAACTGTCTCAAAGCTAATGTACCTTCCCAACATGGAGGTACATACCTTAGCTCTTTGAAATTGACAAGTTGTACCAGAAAAAAGTCACAACTGGAACAATGCAGATATTTGTTGGAGTAAGTGAATTCTCCACCTCTCCCTATCACCTTAAGCTTTTGGGTTGAACTGGTTGGTACATGCAACTTAATATGGTATCAAAACGAGAGGTCTCGAATTCAAATCCTGGTTAACACAAATAAATAAATTATAATTGTTGCTTGCTCTTATTCCACGTCTGAGGCCTCTGAGGGAGCCTCCACATGAGAGGGAGTGCTGGAGTAAGTGAATTGCCCACATTTCCCCATCCGCTTAAGCTTTTAGGTTGAACTGGTGAGTGCATGCAACTCAATAATATTATATTACATACTTTTGTATGATAATTATCGAGTTTTTAGCTATAATGTTTACAAGCTCTATTTTTTCCTTATTTGTATAATGAAGTACCTTCATGATGGACTTGATTTCTGCAATCCAGGTGAGATGTTAGTTAGTCGTGCAAGGTGCTTCTTTATGGATGATGTATCAACAGGCCTTGACAGCTCCACCACATATGAGATTATGACATTTCTCCGGCAAATGGCACATATAGTGGGTCTTACAGTTGTTATTTCACTGCTGCAGCCATCTATAGAAACATTAGCATTGTTTGATGACATAATCCTTTTGTGTGAGGGACAAATTGTCTACCATGGTCCTCGAAGCCATGCTGTTGGTTTTTTCAGTACCATAGGCTTTTCATGCCCCGACAGGAAGAATGTAGCTGATTTCCTTCAAGAGGTAATTCACTAACTATATAAACTAAAGAAATATAATCTATGCCAAGTACATTTGGCATCTTGGAAGATACCATTAAATTCCCAAAGAAATAAAAGAAATGTTATTGTCATCTTCTAATTTGTAGTCAAAGTCTACAATGACAGCTAGAGTATCATAATGGGTTATTGGTAACTTACTAACCCAGTGTGTGGATGAAATTAATAAAACTTTAGTACGAGGACATCATGCAAGATACGACAATAAATGTACGCCCACCCAATAAAATGGGAAACAAGAAAGACATTATGTAGAGGAAGTTTGATCCCAGTTATTAACACATTGGGAAAGAGTGGTTTCATGCATCGGTGCAAAAGCTGTCCAATTATGCACCATTTGGACAGAAACATGATACACGCTCATGACAACAAAATTTAAAAAACTACTTCATATTTTTTAACAGGTGACCTTAAAAATGGAACAGAAGCAATATTGGACTGGTGACGAGAGCCAATATAAATACCATTCCATCGAAGACTTCGTAAAATGCTTCAGAGCCTACAGTGTCCCTCAAATTGTAGAAGACAATCAATGCACAGAGAATGGTAGCAAACAAGCAGTTCAAGCAGGTGACAGTTTTAGAATATCGAAATGGAAGATTTTCAAAGTTTGTTTATCAAGGGAAGTACTCCTGTTAAAGAAAAATTATCCAGCGCATATCTTCAAGGTTATACAGATAATGTTTCTCGCTTTTGTTACTGCAACACTTTTCTTTCGGTCAGAAATGAACCAAGATACAGTTCTTGATGGAGTAAAGTACTTGGGAGCTCTCTTTATGGGTGTTATTGTTATAAATTTCAACTGCACAATCGAACATGGAATGGTCACAAAGAGGCTCCCAATATTCTATAAACAAAGGGAGTTACTAGAATTACCTGGGTGGCCTCTTGTTTGCTCAGTTTTTCTAACCAGCTTACCAGTGTCACTGATGGAGTCAGGTCTTTGGACCTTTTCAACCTATTATGCAATTGGTTATGCACCTTCTGCAATCAGGTATAGCCCTCGGCAATTTGAACACCAAAAATACTCCCCCCAGTCATAAAAAGGCGTTCATTTGGACATTGATATACTCTCCAAAATCAAACTTTGGCTACTACTGTTATGATATGGGGTTTAGTAGATGCAAACATGATGTGGAAGCGTACTTGCCCTCGCAAAGAGGCTCTGAGCAGCAATTTATATTATCTACTCTCTCTTGGTTTCCAAATAACGACAGCAGGTTTATATATCACTGGCCACCTAACAAGAATATATAAACCCAAACTTATCTCTCAAACTAACAGACAAAAAGTCTAATTCTTAATGTAACCAAATCTCAAATCCAAGCAATGGCCTAACAAACTGATGCAAAAATTGTAGATGGCACCTTCTTCCTTATCCTTCTGTGAGCATACGTCTTGCCACAGAACTGAGCCCATAAAAATTAAGAAGCATAGAAAAACTGCACTGAAACGAAACATTTTTAGAATAATCTGCTCATCAATTTTTGTAAGTTTCAAGTTCAATGTACAAAATTACTAATGCACATGGCTTAAACTGCTTTGCATCGCACAACCTAAAACAAACACCTTTTGACATAGACGAGAGTGTTTTCTAAAAGACGGAAAGTAATTATTATTCAGCAGTCTTTAAGAGTATGTAGTGCCTAATAGAAGAATTTGTATAATGGTGGCAGATTATTCCAGCAATTACTGGCACTTCTGGCCACACATCAAATGTCACTGGGCCTTTATCGTTTGAGAGAATTCCTTATTTGACAACGAACAAATGATCCGTTCCTTTCTTGGCCCTAAAAAAATTTCCGTTCCCTATTTGACATCGAGTTCAACTTTCATTCCTTATACGACACTCCGTTAGATTTTCCATCCGTGAACCGTTAACTGCCATGTGAAAAGACGATTTTGCCCCTGTGGGCCCCACCACCCTTCTCCCTCCTCTCCTCTCCTTCTCCCTCCTGGCCGCCGAGTCGTAGGCGTGGGGCGGCCAGGCGCGCAGCAACGAGGCCGCCGCGTCGGGCCTGCGCGCCACGCTCAACGCCCTGCTCCTCCGCGTCGGCGTCGGTGGTGGTTGCGGTACGGCACATCCCGCCGCCGAGGAGGGATTCGGCGAATCCGATGGCACGGACGACGCGGAGTTGTGCTGCTTCGTGGACGCGGCCGAGGACGCGATGCCGGCCCCGGCGGTGAAGTGGGCGTGCAGGGCGTGCGGCGGAGGCGAGGCGTCGGTGCTACTGCTGCCGTGCCGGCACCTGTGCCTGTTCAAGGCGTGCGAGCCTCGGACGGACGCCTGCCCTATCTGCTCCGCCACCAACGCCAGCGCAGTGACAGAGGGAGAAGGGTGGTGGGGCCCACTGCACCCGGTTTTAAGAATAAAACCAGATACGCACCATATGTGAGCCCAGAAAGTCAAATCTCACGTATAGCTACAAATAAGGGTAATATCGAAAGACAATGCTCAATATATAACGTACTTAGTATAAAGGATATAACCTTAAACAACAAACAGCAGAAAGCCAACTCCGATCTTCGGGTGAAGACTCTAATTCATAGGGACAACTGACTGGTTGATCACAAGCCTAACTTCTTCAAACTCTAGCAATCTGGTACCTATCTGGGATTTTTATCCAAATAATTGAAAAATAAAACAAGCGCAAGTACATGTCGTACTTAACAAATATAATATGGGGTTCATGAGGCTCAAAAGGTTGACACTGGTTTACTATGGTTAGCTTTTAGTGAGTTATGATTTTAGCAATTGAGTAGCATCAAATTTATTCACAAGCCCATATAAGCACATGATCAGGTAAATATGAATAATGAATAGCATAAACAGTAACAATTAATGAGCATCTTCATCATCAGTATCATCCGTGTTCATCATCTATTCTGTAAGAGTTCCAAGACCGCTCGTGACCGTGAGAACGACTGTTATAACAGTTTTACACTCTGCAGAGGTTGTATACTTTTACTATGAGTCGTGATTTACCCTTTCGCCTGAGGTCGTGAGCCTCTTAACCCACTACCAAGGAAGGTTGGCAGGGTTCACTATGAAACCTTTCAAAGGTTCGTCTAACAAGTTAAGACCGCTAGGTTTCCCCATCAATAATCATGAACTTCCCTCCAAGGAGTGACTGACAAAAGGACTAGAGACCAAAATGCACTCAACCTGGCAGGCAAAGGTCATACCTGTCGGAGCCCCTCTTACACCATAAAGGTAAGCACTCACAAGCTAGAAAAGGTCCTCATACTTGACTAAAGCCAGAGTCATGTGACCCTCACAATTGTACTGTAAGTCCCGGATGATCACTTACAGATAAGTCCTTAGGGAGAGGAATGTAGAGCACCATAAAAGTAGCTCAATGCTCTAGCCCCCTAATTCCATGTTGCTAAAAAGTATCTTTTAGTGTTTATTGCATATACCATTAGTCAAGTTACAAAATCATGGTTTCAGTTGAGCACTAGCATCATACTAACCAATGCAATACCCGATAGGTGACAAGGAATCCAGGTTATCAAATAGCTAGGAAAATTAATACGGTTGCCAAGGTAAACACATATATGATTAAATTATTAAAGTGAATAGGACAACAAGAAAGATCCCATGCTATATTTGTCTTAAACTCTGATCCTTCTTCTAGTCCAAACCATTAATGAATTGCTTCTGGACTCACCAACTTCTTTTATATCACCAACGCAAAGCTCACCGACCGGACATGATCAAAAAACACCACATAAGCATCCATGCAATCATACACGAAGCAAACAATAGAACTAAATTAGAACAGTACACTAAACATAATAAACAGCAAGTAAAAAGGTTTTAAAGATGTTCTGCATGTTACTACGAACACACAGATGCGAAAATCACTCTAATCGGAGCTATAACAAAAAAGTTAAAGTTGAAAACATGTTTGACAGTAGTATGAACTTATAGATTATGCAATTACGAATCTAACACAACTTGAACGGGTCAAAACGGAGTTAAAACGAAGAAGTTATAGCCTAAAGAAGGTAGTGGCAAAACTGTAAATAAGTGGATCTTCTTTTTTGAATTAAAATAAATAAAAATTGGAATTTTGAATCTGGAGTGGACTGCGGGTTAAATTATTCAAAAGCCTAAGGCCTCTTTAGCAAAATTGTCGGCCGAAACGGTATCTTCTAACCTAGGTCGTTGATCTCAGATCGGGCGGTGCAGATTAGATGGAAGGGGAGAGAGAGAGAGGCTGTCGGCTGGCTACAGTGACCACGCGGCGGTCGGCCATGACCGGCGGCGAAGAGCTTGCTGGCGAGCGCGAAGAGGGCCCAAGAGTCCATGATTCAACGCGGGGAAAGCATGGGGTGGAAGCGGGGATCAAGGCGAGCTCACCTAGGGTCTTAACGCGGTCGGAGCCGGCACGGAGACGACGAGGGACACGGTAGGGCTAGGGCTTCACGGCGGCACGGCGACTCGGCGAGGTAGCGGCTTTGGCGAGACTTGATGGAGAGGCGGCGCGGTGCGGGGAGTCCGTATTTAAGGCCGGGGAGCCGTGGGGCGCACACACACGGGCGGAGTCGGGGGTGGCGCGGGGTCTCGGCGGAGTCTGACGCGGAGACGGCGTGAGGAAGACGACGGCGCGGCTGACATGCGGGGTTGCCTCGTCAGCGAGACAAGCGAAGGAGGAGGCGGGGCGCGTCCGCGCGGCTTGGTTGGGTCGGCCTGCTAGCTCGCGAAGGGGAAGCTGGGCGCACGGGGAAGGTGGGAGCGGGCCTGCGCGGTGGAGCCGAAAGAGAGCTGTTCGGGCTGGGCTGCAGGGAGAGGGGAGAGAGAAAGGCCAAGCAGGCCAAAAGCCAGGGAAGGAAACTCTCTTTTGATTTTGTTTTTCTTTTATTTCAAAACTATTTTCAAAGCTTTTCAAAAGAATTTGAATTCATTTTGAATTTTAGTGGAAACCACTCATCACAATTAATTAAATGCACCAGCATGTATGCGCAACCATGTTGTTACATCATATGATAAATTTTAATTTCATAAAAAAAATATTATTTTCTATATTTTATGAGCACAAAAATACATAATTAAATCATTTTAACTTTATTTCAAAAAGAGCAAATTTTCGGGTGTTACACAATGGTATTGGACCTGTATAGAAATTTTATTTGGATTCACCCTGGTCTTCAACATCCTAAGCATACTTGCTTTACAGTTCCTGAAATGTATGTATGATAAACAAACCCAGATATTATTCTTGACCGAAGGTATAAGGATACTATTGCTACTTATCACATTTGCAGCTCCACACAAACGTGAAGTAAATATCAAGTCACGAGACAGACAAAATAAAGTGTACAACGATCAGGCAGTTGTTAATGTGAATGCCTCAATTGATCAAAGCCTACCATTCCAACCACTGACACTTGTATTAAAAAATATTAACTACTCTGTGGAACTTCCAAAAGTATTGTCTCGACTTAAAAAGTCCTTTCAAAATCCATAAGTCTTCAATTTAATATCTTTTACCTTAACTATGCTAAATTATGCCCGGGTATGAGAAAACATGGAGTTACTGAATCAAGGCTCCAGCTACTGCGAGATGTTAGCGGCTCTTTCAGACCAGGAGTTCTAACAGCATTGATGGGGATTACTGGTGCGGGGAAAATAACATTACTAGATGTTTTGTCTGACCGAAAAACTGGAGGTCACATTGAAGGAGTTATCAGCATATGTGGCTACCAAAAGAAGCATGAAACATTCTCAAGAATCACAGGTTATTGCGAGCAGAGTGACATACACTCACCTTATCTAACGGTATATGAATCACTCAAGTTCTCTGCGTCCCTTCGTCTGCCTTCAGTTGTTAAATCTCATCAGAGAGATGTAAGATAATCAATTCTTTCACTTTTGCATTGTAGCCAATATCCAGTGTGCAGGATAACAAGTCACAATCTTCTCATTTCATGATTTTCAGATGTACGTAGAAGAAGTTATGGACCTAGTAGAGCTAACTGGTCTGAGGAATGCAATTGTGGGCATTCCTGGGGCAACAGGCCTATCAGCTGAACAAAGAAAAAGACTTACAATAGCAGTGGAACTTGTCGCTAGCCCCGCCATTATGTTCATGGATGAGCCAACAACTGGTCTAGATGCTCGTGCTGCAGCAATTGTCATGCGTACAGTGCGAAAGATGGTGAACACTGGGCGTACTGTTGTCTGCACAATTCATCAGCCAAGCATCCAGATATTCGAATCTTTTGATGAGGTATGACTTGGTACAGACAAGCTAAGTACTACCAGAAGTGAAGAGAATTTAAAGCAGAAAGGAAGTTTTCTATCCCCATATGCAAGTACCAAGTAGGCATGTGACTTTTACAGAGAATTAACAAACCAAAAAAGTAAATTCTTTTGTCTTAAAAAAGCAAAATCTTAAGGGTAACCTTGTTGGTCCCGAGATCTCCCGCATGGGTGAGCCAACCGCTCACCGGCGTTCTCGCTCACTATGGCTAGAGGTAGAAGAAGAGAGGGAGAACAAAGCGCATACACACACAACACAAGCACCAGTGTTGGCCAGAGCTCTGCAGAGGATATGGCAAAACTGATATCCATCTCTTCACTGAGTTGCAGTGGGAAGCTATATATACAACTCTACCCATCTAATCCTAGTACACAGATATGTCAGGTTGTCATACTACTATAGTGACTAAATGTGACAGCAGGACTGACCTTGGCGTCTGCCCCTGCTGAGCGGCAGGAGATCCTTTTGGTGTCTGCCCCTGCCGCGGCTACAGTGCAGCAGCAGGGGAGCTTTTTCGGCGCCTGCCCCTGCCGCGCGTACAGAGGGAGAGCAGCAGATTACTTTACAATTCTTCCCTTAATCCTGCAGCTAACCCTAGAACCTCCACCATGCCAATCATCTTCTTCAGCTCCGTGAACCAAAGACGACCGAGCGGCTTGGTGAGGACGTCCGCGAGTTGCCGACCAGTTTCGATGAACTCGATGTTGATCTGCCCTCCATCGACACAGTCCCTAAGGAAGTGGAACTTGACGTCGATGTGCTTGCTCCGGTCGTGGAGAATCGGATTCTTTGCGAGGGCGATAGCGGGCTGGTTGTCCACCATCAGTGCTGGTGGGTGAGCTTCCACACCGGTCATCTCACCCAGCAGCCGGCACAGCCACACAGCTTGGTACGCCGCTGTGGCCGCCGCCACGTACTCTGCCTCGCACGTGGACAGCGCCACCACCTTCTATTTCAGCGACAGCCATGAGATTGAAGCCGACCCGAGGTAGACAAGCATGCCAGAGGTGCTCCGTCGTCCATCGATGTCCCCCGCCAAGTCTGCATCGCTGAACACAGTGAGCTGCAACCCACTTCTGGCGTCTTGGGGAAGACGATCCCCTGATCCACCGTCCCCTTAACGTAGCGCAGCAACCGCTTCACCATGGCCCAGTGATTCTCTCAGGGATCCTCCATGAAGTGGCTGACGTAACCCAAGACGAACGTAATGTCCGGCCTCGTGTGGACTAGGTAGTGCAGACCGTCGAACGATGCTCCGGTAGAGTGTTGCATCTATCTTCGCCGCGGTATTGGCCTTCATCAGCTTCAGCCGCTCCACCATCGGAGTCACACACGGCTTGCACTCAGCCATGCCGCTCCACTCCAATAGCTTTGAGGTGTACGCGCTCTGACCGAGCGTGAGCGCCTCCTTCCACTGTCTCACCTCAATGCTAAGGTCGTAGAAGAGCGCACTAAGATCGCTCATTTGAAAACGAGCCACCATCTCGCGCTTGAAGTTGTCGATGTCCTCCGCATGTGTGCCGGTGACGATCAAGTCATCCACATACACGCCGACGACGAGCTCCTCCTTCCCCCGTCGCCGTGTGTAGAGCGCATGCTCAGTTGCGCACCGCGTGAACCCAAGCTCACCCAGCATGGCATCAAGCTTGGCGTTCCACGCTCATGAGGCCTACCGCAGCCCGTAGAGCGCCTTGCGTAGTCAGAGCACCCTGTGCTCCGCTCCCTTGAAGGCGAAACCCGAAGGTTGCCTGACGAAGACCGTCTCCACCAGCTCGCCGTTGAGGAAGGCTGATTTTATGTCCAAGTGATGGACGCGCCAGTCCTTCGCTGCTGCTAAAGCCAGCAGTAGTCGGATAGACTCGATGCGCGCTATCGGCGTAAAGACTTTCTCGAAGTCGATGCCATCGTGCTGGATAAAGCCTCGAGCGATGAGGCGCGCCTTGTGCTTGACAATGGCGCCGTGCTCGTCCCGTTTGACCTTGTACACACAGTTCAGACCGATCGGACGACATCCTGGAGGTGGATCGACGAGCTCCTAAGTCTCCTTTCCCTTGATCGCCTTCATCTCCTCCAGCATCGCCCGTCGCCAATTTGCATCGCGCTCGGCCATCGCAAACGTGGGTGGTTCCTCTGCATTGATGAGAAGCAGCTCTAGGTCATTGTGCAGCTGACCCACCAGGCCTGAGGACCCTGTGCCGCCGACGATGTCGTCCAGCCTACGGAACCACACCTCCTCACCGTCGTGGAAGGCATCCACAAACTCGGTGATGTCGCTTGGAGGTGAGGCGAACTCGATCGGCGTCGATGGAGTCCCCTATTTTGCCAGAGTGGTCGGCACAACACCTGGAGTGCTCGGCACCTCGGCTACAGTGCTTGTCACTACTCCTGGACCGCTCATCACCACTCCAAGAGTGGTTGGCACCACTGCAAGAGTGCTCGACACCAGTCTTGGAGTGGTCGGCACCACGACAAGACCTCTCGGCTCCGCTACGGGAGCGTTCGGCACCCGTCCTAGAGTGGTCGGCACCACTGCAGGACCGCTCGACACCACTCCTGGAGTGCTCGGCACCCCTCCTGGAGTGCTTGGCACCGCCCCAGGAGTGCTCGGCTTTGTTGCTGGAGTGGTCGGCACCTCCTCTCCAGCGTCTCCACCACTATGGATGACCAAGTGCTCGACGATGAAGGTGTTAGTAAAGCCGCCAGCTGCCCCCGTCCCAGTCCTAGGCCTCCTTCTTGTCGAACACGATGTCGCGCGAGACAACCACCTTGCCTTCGTGTGGGTCGTAGAGCTAGTACGCCTTGGTACCTTCCTCATAGCCCAGGAGCACAATCGGTGTGCTCCTGTCCTCCAGCTTGGTGAGGACCAGCTTCATCTTCCTGACGTGGTTGATGTAGCTAAATGTACAAAGGAAGGACACGCTCGACTAGCGCCCATACCAAGCTTCGAACGGCGTCACACCCTTCAGGGCCTTTGTGGGCGCGTGGTTGGGGATGAACACCGCCGTGGTCACCGCCTCACCCTAGAACTTTGTCGGCATGCTCTTGGCCTTCATCATGGATCGAGCCATGCCGACCACCGTCTGGTTTTGCTACTCCACCATGCCATTCTGCTATGGTGAGTATGGCGCGATGTGGTGTCGCACCACACCCTGATTTGCGTAGTACGCAGTGAACTCCACCGAAGTGAATTCATCACCGCGATCAGTCCGCAGCACGCGTAGCTTCTTGCCGCTTTCCGCCTCTGCGTGCGCCTTGAACTTCTTGATCACCTCTACCGCCTCGTTCTTGCTCATCATGAGTTGCAGCTACATATAGCGACTGCAATCATCCATGAGCAGGAGGAAGTACCGCCGACCACCGTTTGTAGATGGCGTGATTGTCCCACAGAGATCACCATGGACAAGCTCGAGAGCGTCCGTCGCGTGATACTTGGCCTCCTTTGGGAACGGCAACCTCCTCTGCTTCCCGGCCAGGCAGCTATCACATAGCTCGCCTACGTGCCTTATGTGGGGCAGCCCTCGGACCATCTTCTCCAACTGACCGAGCTCGTCGAAACTGAGATGGCCGAACTAGGCATGCCACAGCCATGGCTCCTAAGCGTGCCGTGCTGCTAGGCACATCGGATGCTCCACCTTCAAGTCGAGCAGGTACAATTCGATTACATGAGCGTTTTACCTTCGCGAGAAGACGCCGCTCCCAATCCCGAATCTTCAGGATCCCGCTCTCGATCAGTACCTTGCATCCACGCTCGCCAGCTGCCCGATGCTGATGATGCTTGAATGTAGCTGAGGGATGTAGTACACATCCATCAGTGCTTGGTGCTCACCATTCTGTCACCTGAAGATGATGGTGTCACGTCCTCGGATTGCCACCCTTAAGCCGTCACCGAACTTCACCGTGCCGGTCACATTGCTGTCAAGCTCAGAGAAGGCTTCCTTGGAGCCCGTCATGTGGTTGCTGGCGCCGGAGTTTAGGTACCACCGCTGCTCCTGCTCGCCGCCCACATGTCTGAGGTGGACTTGGGCGCGTGATTCGTCGAGGTTGACAGCCTTTAGAGCCTTGTCGTGCCCTTCCTCCGCCATCACCTCTCCCTTCTCCATGGCCTCAACGTCGTGTAGTGCACAGAACGTAGCCATCAGGAGAGTGGCCTCATCATCCTCATTAGCCTATGCTAAATGAGCCTCAGCCTTCTTCTCCTGCTTGCAATTTGGGCACTCGTTGGTCCAATGGCCTGTCTTCCCGTAGTACCGACAGGCATTAGGGTCGACCTTCTTCTTCTTCTCCGAAGAAGCCTTGCCGCGGCGCTTGCCATCGCCACCACGGCTGGAGGAGGCTTCCCCGGACTTCTTCTCCTTCATCCGGGCAGCCCACTCCTCCTTTGTCAGCAGCAGCTTACCACTGTCCGTTGTTGCTATGGCCTGCTCCACACGCTCGTCCACCGCCTGCAGACGGCCTGTCACATCCTCAATGGTGAGGGTGGACAAGTCCAGCATCGTCTCTATGGAGAGAGCGATCTGGATGTACTTCACCGGCACGGAGTGGAGGTACTTGGAGACCGCCTCTTTTTCGTCGATGGTGACGCCGTGGCTCCTCAGCTTGCTGATGAGCAACTGCAGGAGGAGGGAGAAGTCCTCCACCGACTCACCATCCTTGAACTTGAGGTTGGCGTACTCCTGCTTCAGCAACTGGGCCGTCGCCTTCTTTGCGCGGTCAGAGCCGACGCGCATCACTGCAATGGCCTCCTACGCCTCCTTAGCAGAGTTCTTCGCCCCCAATAGCTCCCTGTACTCCGCTGGCACAGCAGCGAGGATAGCCTCCAATGCTGACATGTGGTCTTCTTGGTTGTCGGTGCCCTTATCAATGGCATTCCAGAGCCGTCGGGCTCTGAGCTTGACCTTCATGGTCACCGCCCACTCGCCATAGTTGGTGCGAGTCAGCGTCAGTCAACTGGTGCCGCTGACCTCCCGCACCGT